AGTGACCGGCGTCGCTGCAGAGGCGTCCTCATCGCGGCGGCTTTGTGGCACGTTCCTGTCTTGGTTGTGGATGCGGGAAGTTAGGAAGACTTTATTTTCTTACCTTGCGTTCTTATTCTAAATTAAAGAAGTTTGGAGATTTAGTGTCGTATGAGACCAGAGGTGCTGTTTTTTTTGTTTGGTTTTTTTTTTTTTTTCGGACGCTGGACCTAAGGATCTCAAACTTATTTTTATGTCCGGAAGTCCTTCTTGTGGAAAAATTCTACAGGATGAGTGAGACCTTTCGGGGTTTGACTTGAGACCTTGTCTTAGAATCTGATCACTGCACTTAATGTCTGAGTGGGGACCCCTTTCTGTGCTGAAACCCCACATTAATTAGCGTAGGAACTAGAGAGAGAGAAGTTAACTGTTTTCGCCATTTAAGAGATGTCTGTAGAGATTAATTAACTTGCTGAAGGAAGTGTTCTGTAGTTCTGGCATCCACCCTAACCACGGCTACAGTGTGGAACAATTCCCCGCGGGTGTGTCTAGGTACAGCTTATTAATTTTCCCTCTTTCCCTCTAGGTGATTTTCCTTCATGGATTGGGAGATACAGGGTAGGTACCATTATTTTAGCAACAGTAATAAAATTGGGTCATGCAACTACCTAAGCAATCAATGGTGTCATATTTAGGAACTCTAGGGTTGTATAAAAAAAGATTGCTGGTATTTCTTACAGTCCAGCAATAAGATACAATCTTTTCATTTTGGAAAAGCCCCAGAATGTCTCCGTCATTATCTTGGATTTGTCATTTTTCAATTCCTGTTTTTGGAACATATTAAAACTGCAAACTCCTCGAGTTGCTGTGGGTATTGGATAGCAGAGATGGGTGGAATGTTTGAGCTTTCTAGAGGGTTAAAATTTCAGGGCAGGTTTAGAAGAACTGGTTGATTTTGATAAGAGAGACAATAGCAATGTACAGCCCACAGCATTCTGAATGAGAGCTTAGATGTTCCCTTAAAAGAAAAAAAATCAGTTGAAGGGCAAGGGAGGCAAGTCAAAGATTTGTTTGGAGGCTTATCAAACAAATTTTGTTGTGCTAACTTTAGATAAATGGTTTATCTTTCACTTAGGCTTTTTCTATATTGAGAGGTTTTGTTTTTAATTTAAATCAATGATTATCTGTTTGAAACTTAGGTAAAGTTGTTTTTATAGAATTGTTACAAAATTGTAGAATTGGCAGAAAACTGAAGATAGATAAATTTTGATAAATTAGCCAAAAAACGGTTAAATCTTCTTTACAGGGAGGTGTTGGATTAGAATAATTTTTTTCTTCTTTTTTTTTTTAGATTAAGTTTTTTGTTTTTTGTGGGGGTTTTTTCCCTCAACCCCTTAAAACCCCTTAGCCTAGCCCACTGAGCAAGATGGTTTGGGCCACTATTAGGTCTCCCATCTTCTTGGTTGGCGCCTTCTCCACTAATAAATATTTCCTTACTCCAGATTCTGACATTTTGAGTTTTGGCCTTTTGAAGCATTGAGCTCATGAACTTGGGTTCGGTGACACTTGGAAATAGACATCAGAAAGAGACTGGCTAAATAATTACGATCTGTCCCTGCATGGAATGCTGTGGAACCATTGTAAAAGTGTTCCAACCTGCAGAGAATTTTAATTTTTTTTGATAAATTATGAAATTTATTTATATTTCACCTTTTGAAAGCCAGAACGTAACAAATTTCACTTTCTGGAAAGTAATCTTATTAGAAATACATGACATGCACTTAATACAAGGAAATCGGTTTCCTGGTACCACCAGTGACACATACATGCTTTATTTGAGCCAAACAGGATATGCCTGGAAGCAAGAGCTCAGCAAACTGAGAAATGACAGTTTGCCTAGATTAAGTTTTAAAGGTGATTCCTAATATTATTTTATGCTTACTAAGTAGAGGTAATGTGACACATACTTAAAGGTCTCTAATTCTGAAAGTACTTTGTGAGATAACACTAAAGAAAAGCTGATTCTAGTTTGGTTCCATGGATACATAGTGAAATTCAGAACAAACCAATCTAACAAGTCACAGTTTATTGTTTAAGATACTTTTGGAGAACTAAAGTACATTTGTCAGGTTAACTTGGAGGATGTTGGATTAAGCAATTCAGTTTTGTCCTGTGGTTGGGCAAAGTTATAATGGCCACCGTAGTGAGAAGGTATTTTAAGACCTACAAGTGAAGCAGGCAACTTCATAGATTATGACAGAATTTATTATAAGTAATTTACTAACTGGAAGATTGGGTCAGAGCAGAAAAGATGACCCAGCAGTCTGCCCAGATTGTGCTCCATTAACAGACGTCTGCCTGTTACAGTACTTTTTAAATAGTATAACTGGGGTACTGGTGACTGATAGGACAAAGAGACAAAGAATCCAATAGTGACAGAGACCATACCTCCTAGTGGTCTTGTGACTCAGTACTATCACCAGTTTGATATTTATCTCGGTTGTCATCTCATTCTGGTTGTTACTAACAAAAATATTTATGGCTACATTTTAAGGAACACAAATAATGATGAACTAGAAAGCTTTGATATGCTTGCTGGGGACAGAAGGTGGTCAAAGGTCACAGCATGAAACTTAAATCTGGGTCACAGATGAAGTTGGTTTTGTTTACATCTATATCTATATACAAGTTCGTTGCTATAAAAATGGGCAGCTTTTGTCCTATTTTGTTGAGGTTCTTTGCAGAACCAGCCATAAGGCAGTTCCATTTTTAATATTTTGAGAATACATATAAACAGCAGAAAAGCTCATGTTAAGAGGGAGGCGGAAGTTAGAAATACATTGCTACAAGCCAAGGAATGCCAGGAGCTATCACAAATGAAAAGGCAAAGGATTAACCCTTAGAGTTCTCCGAAGCAGTGTATGTAGCCCTTCTGATACCTTGGTTTTGGACTTCCAGCCTCTTGAACTGTGAGAATACACTTCTGTTGTTCTAAGCCATCTATTTTGTAGTTATCTGTTATGGCAGCCCTGGGAAACTAATACACTTCGTGACTGATGCCTGTTATATGTTTTGCCCTTTGATTCATTTATTTATTCAACAAATACTTAGTGCTGCTACATATCCAGTATTCTTCAAATCCTGGAAATATGGTACTAATTTAAAGAGAGAAAAAAACCCTCACCGGTGTACTCAGTGGTTAGAGCGTCAGCCCATGCACTGAAGGGCTCAAGTGATTCCACTTCTGTGTGTATATTGGAAGAAACCCAAAACACTTATTTGAAAGAATATATGTACCCTTGTGTTCATTGCAGCATTATTTGCAATAACCCAGATATGGAAGCAATCCAAGTGGCCATCCATAGATGAGTAGATAAAAGAAAAAAAGCTATGGTACATATATACGGTGGAATGTTCCTCGGCCATAAAATGAAGGCAGCCTTACCATTTGCAATAGGATGGATGAACCTAGAAGGTATTATGCTAAGTGAAATAAGTTAGTCAAAGGCAAATACCATANCATTTGCAATAGCATGGATGAACCTAGAAGGTATTATGCTAAGTGAAATAAGTTAGTCAAAGGCAAATACCATATGATTTCACTTATACGTGGCATCTAAAGAACAAAGTAAAGGAACAAAATTCAAACAGACCCATAGATACAGAGAACAGACTGGGGACTGGGTGAAAAAGGTGAAGGGGTTAAGAAGTACAAATTGGTAGTTATGGGTTTTGTATAGCATAGGGAATATAGTCAATAATATTATAACAACTATGTACGGTGCCAGGTGGATAGTGGAAATATCAGGGGGGAGCACTATGTGAAGTGTATGATTGACTATGCTGTACACATGAAACTAATACAAAATAATATTGACTATAAAGTATAAATGAAAAATGAAATTTTTAAAAATATGTGTTGTTTGGGGGTCAATATCCAAAATATATAAAGAACTCAGTAGCAAAAACCAAATTCAATTAAAAAACGGGCAGAGGAACTGAATAGACATTTTTCCAAAAACGTACAAATGGACAGCTGATATATGAAAATGTGCTCAACATGACTAATCATGTAGGAAAATGCAAATCAGAATCATCATGAGGTATCATCTCACACCTGTCTGAATGGCTATTATTAAAAAACAAATAAGTGTTGGTGAGGAAGTGGAAAAAGGGAACCCTTGGGCACTGCTGGTGGGAATGTAAATTGGCATAGCCACTGTGGTAAACAGTATGGAGGTTCCTCAGGATATTAAAAATAGAACTATATGATTGAGCAATTCCACTTCTGTGTATATATCTGAAGGAAATGAAATCACTCCCACAAAAGGATATTTGCACCCCCAGGTTCATTGCAGCAGCATTTATAATTACCAAGACATGGAAACCACCTAATTGTCCATCATTGGACTCCTCATTCCCTATCGATTTCTTTGGATATCCTTTTCGGAAATAAGTTGACCATAAATGTAAAGGTTTGTTTGTGTATTTTCAAATCTATTCCATTGATTTATTTCAGTACCACACTGTCTTTATTACTGTTGCTTGTAGTAACTTTTGAAATTGGGAATTGTGAGTCCTTCAACCTTATTGTTTTTCAAGATTGTTTTGGCTATTTTGGGTCTCTTGAGTGTCCAAATCAATTTTAGAATTGGCTTGTCTGTAAAGCCAGCTGAGATTTTGATAGAGATTGCATTGACTGTATATCAGTTTGGAGAGTACTGCCATCTTAAGAATATTAAGCCTTCCAGTCCATGAACATGGGATGTTCATTTATGTAGATCTTTAATTTGTTTCAACATGTTTCGTAGTTTTCACTGTAAAGTCTTACACATATATACAAACAACAAACACACATGCACTCACATATGTGCACACCTATACAACTCCTAGAGTAATGCCTTGCTCATAGTGTTATATAATTGTTAGTATTAATACTGTTATTAATTTTTCCATGTGTTCTTAACACTTGGGGAAGATGCATTTAAAAATAGAGAGTTAACAGAAAAGCACTTAATGTTTATTTTCAGACTATTTTACACAAGCTTAAGTTACTTTTACTTTATCCTTTAATAGAGGTGACCTGTAAAAAGAATTAGTTATAAGGTCATGTATAAACAAGCAAGAAACTGTACATATGTATAGTATGATCCCATTTTTGTAAAAATCTGTATTTCTTAAGTGATATGCATAGAAAAAATTGGAAGGAAATACATAGATTAACTGTTTATTTCTGGTTGGAAGCATGAAGATTTATAATTTTTCTCATTCTATATACACACACACACATATACACACAAAAAAAGAATGCTAGTTAAATTTATTTTTTATAGTGTAATAACCATGTGGAGATATCAGACAACTGATTTACTTTACTCCTTTGATGCTTTTTGAAAATATAAAATGTGAATGATCTTTCTTGCCTGATCTGTTAGGTATGTTATAAAGTTATAAAGAGATAAAAATACATTTTGTAAATCCTAAAAATATATTTTGTAAATTCTGTGGAAATACATGGAAGAAAACACAATTCTCTTCAGAAATCTCAAGAAATCATCTTTATCCATAGGTAAAGTTGAAACAGTAGTCTTTGGGTTGTTTCTAGGTTGGTGCTGTTATTTTAATAGCATTGATTGCCCATACTTTTAAGATATTTTAAGGGGCTAACATTTATTCTTACAAACTTTAATAATACTATTCTGTTACTAGTTTATTGGGAATTAAAACAATATCTAATGGCATTGTTCAAATAATTTCTCTACCAGGCATGGATGGGCAGAAACCTTTGCAGGTATCAGAAGTTCACATATCAAATATATCTGCCCGCATGCGTAAGTATTTTTAATCTTTAGGCTTGTGACTTAGAATCTGGAGAGGAATGTTTTTACAGCTTTACTTTTCTAGAAAAGCATTTGAATATAATTAATTTTTATCTTGTAAATATTCAGTTTAAAAATAAAGATTAGAGTACACCTGAAACTAACACAAAATAATATTGAATGTAAGCTGTAATTGAAAAATAAAATTTTAAAAAAGTAAAAAAAATGAAGATTATTTCCCAGCCAGGGTGGCTCAATTGGTTAGAGAGTTGTCTCAGAAGTTGTGTGTTCGATTCCCGGTCAAGGCACATTCCTAGGTTGTGGAGTCAATCCCTGGTCTAGTCAGTCCCCAGTCAGGGCACATACAGCAGGCATAGGCAACCGATCAATATTTCTCTCCCTCCCCCTCCCCTGTCCCCCTCTTCCTCTCTATCTCTACTTCTACCTCTACCTCTAGCCCTAGCCCTCCCTCCCTCTCTTCCTTCCTTTCTCTCTAAAAAGTCAATAAACATATCCCTGGGTAAGGATTAAAAAATAATAAAAAGATTAGTAAACTCTTTAAAACTAAAATAATATGTTGTGGACTTTTTTCTTTTTTTTTTTCTGGTGAGAAATTTAAAATAATGCTCTCTTGGAGGTAAGTTGAATTCACAGCCAGAAAAATCCTGTTAGATATATAAATATCTATTAAGTTCTAAGAATATCCATGATGTCTGAAGGGGATGGCTGCTTTGTGAGAAATCTTTACTATGTTGTACACTCTCCTAAATTTTATTGATTAGAGGCAATGTGTGATGTGCTGTGGAAAGAACACAGACTTTGGAGTCTGATAGATTTGGTTTAGAATTCTGAAAATGTTTGCGGCTGTTAAAGAACCTAGGAAGTTTTGAGCAAACTCAGAAAATCAATAAGTTAGGCAAGTTTTTAGGTCAAAGGCTACTAAGAAGCAATAGCCATGGAGAAGACAAATGGAATTAAGTACATGCTCGTAGGTTAGTAATTCATCCTCAGAAGTGGTGGTAGCAGTAGAGGTGATAAATATGAAATTGGAAATGGGTAAAGGAAAAATACCTGAGATTAAGTAAGAAAACAGTCCTCCATTTCCAAGAAACAGAATTGTTGATTATATTGGAATTTATGCTATATTGTTACTGGCCCCAGAACTGAATTTGGTTTGAGGCTGTTTCCCAACCTAGGAAAGTTTTATTTCTCAGATCTTGGTAAGATTTCGTTACATCTGAGGTATATGTGTTTCATGACTCGGGAAAATAGTGGTGAGATGTAGTTATAGTGCATTTATTTTTCTTTCCTTTTGTACCTAGTTACATTCAGGTTGTCCAGCAAATTTTTCATCGCAAACTTGAACTGGCTATAATGAACACTTAAACAAAATTCACATTTCTCTTATTTAATGCTCTCAAACAAGCAGATATATAGCTAAGAACTAGAAAATAAGCAAAAAAATGTAATCTGATCATACGGGAATTGATGCTATAGTATCTGTTCAATAAATTGCTCATATCCTTAGCCCCTTAGCCAGAGTTTCATGTTTTATACATTTCCAATTTGTCTTGGTTACTGGTTTTCCTTCTCATGTTTGTTTTGAGTGTTAAGGATGTTGAGAAAGGAAAATGTGTTTTATTTGTCAAACTTAGTTCTTTCCAGCTGCTGCTCTGTTTTCAGAACACACTTGAAGAGTATGCAAAACCGAATTATACAGGTGTGGATATAGTGAAACACCTCCTATATTAAAATCGTAGCATAGTTTTACATTAGCCTCAAGTAATTATCTTTAATGGATTTTGTCAGGTTTTATGCTTTGTTACATTATTCTTATTTTGCTGCTTTTTTTCTTTTCATGTAGACCAGTTATGCCTGTAACATTAAATATGAACATGGTTATGCCTTCTTGGTAAGTAAGAATTTACTTATTCAATAAGAACTTTTTATTTTACTTAGTTTTCTTGATCAGGAGTACTTTTGTGTATAACAATTTTTAATTAGCTATTTTTAAGTTACAAAGTTATATAATTCACTTTAAATTTAACCTTTATTTAATTATTTAAGTTTTTATATTTTAGATTCAGGGGTAAACTTCAGGAGCTGCACCAACAGGTAGAGAAATAGTAGAGAATGAGCAAATAGAAATACTGTAGAAAATACCTCCTACCTTTGTTGATTTCAGTAACCAGACATTTGAATGACCCCAGGTGGCAATTACTCTGATTAAGCCACAGCATCTTTACCCTTTAACTTCTTCCCTTTCTGGAGAGTTGATGAGTTTTTAAGGAAACCATTTCCTCTTGGACCCTCTTAAGATACTTTTGCATTTTACATATGCTGTATAGTCAGAAAGTAGAGTAAGTTCTTCATTCTACTGAACCACTTCTAAGCTATGATTTTGTTTCCTGCTGTTCTCTGAGACTCCTGCCACAGATCTTTTCAAAAATGGTGACTATGATACCTGATCAATATTTTCCTTTCTACTCTATTTCATGCCACCATTTTATCTTTTGGGTGACTACAGGATCCAATGTAAATGACTTGTTCACAACCTTGGCTGGCTTGTTATTTCCTTGGCTCTTCCGCAGTGACGTTTCCTTCTCTCACCTTTGGTCATCCACAGTCATTCCTTGGGCCTTGTCATCTTGAACTGTACCATCTCTGAAGACACTTAATTCAAACCTGATATTAAGAATAATTACTCATCCCTTGAGTTTGCTTCCCTGTTTTTATACTATTTGTTCTTAGACCTCGTAGGACTTACAGTCTTCTGTCTTCCTCTCTACTTGTTCCCAACCATCTCTAACCCATCCCTGCACTTTTTTTATGTACTTTAGATTCGTTGGCAATTTTTACAGGTTCCTGCCTACCTTGGTCTTTGGTTCTTTCATCTTCCCTCTCTGGCAAAATTCCTGTTCAGAACCAAAATTTTGACCTAATATCTCTAGTAGAGACCATAATGAAAGCATATAACCTGATGGAGAAGTAGAAGGGGCCAAAGGAAAGCTTCTCTTGGTCTCTGGTTTGAGGTGTCCACAATATGTGATGAAAAAGTTTTGCAGAATATGGATAAAAATCAGTATAAATAACTGTGTTCAATAGGTATTAGGTAGTGCATGCAAGAGTGACATCATAAAGTAGCTCTATTCCATTAGGTTGACTTACGATGCAACAGAAGAGGAAATGAGTAACTGAAATTTATTGCAAACTTCTTAGGAATGTGGGTTGAGATTCCTACTTGGGTGTAAGATTGGACTAGATAATCTCTTAGATATTCTTATCCTAAAATTATGTGGCACTGTGACTTTTTAACATTAGAATCTGTATCTAGTTGGGATAAAAGGTACTAACAGAATGTTAGATTCACGCATTTAAGTTCGTTGTTTCCCCTCTGAAGACATTTTAATTGAGTTTCATGTTCTAGAAAGTATGTTTGTCAGCCCTTTTTATCCCAACTACCATGAGTTTAGTAAAACATACTTACCAAGAGTAGATAGTCTTAGAATCAAATGGTTCTTTTAAGATTTTGCCTTATTTTTCAGGTTTGATATTATTGGACTTAGAGTAGATTCACAGGAGGATGAACCTGGAATTAAACAGGCAGCAGAAAGTGGTAAGTACAGAAAAGTTTTATAAGCAAAAGCATTTTTAATATTTTTAATAGGTTGAATAGTTTTATTGATATTGATGAAATATTACACAATTATCTGAACCCAGGAAGGGGGGTGCTGTTTCCTTCCTTTCTCATCATTCTCTAACTTGTTTGCCGTGATGGCCACATGGACTCACTTAACTATGCTCAGTGAAGGTGAGGTGGACAGGGAGGAATGGCAGTTATTAAACTGTCAGATAATTAATTTTGCTTTGAGTTACATATCAAATGGACAAAATAACAAAATGTTTAATAGTTGTGGCCAGTTATCTTCATTAAGGAGACTTGAAATAAGGATGGAAATAATGATATAATAATGTAATGACATATAATGAAAATTATATTAATAGTTAATTTTAGTGTGGTAATATTAAACAAGCTAGATAATTCTTATAAACCATCTCATTTAACAGTCCTATGAAATAAGTATTGGCCCTACTTTACAGAATCTCCAAAATCCGTTCTCTGGTTAGTATTCCATGCTCCCTTATGAACATGTTAATTTTGCTTATTTTTTGGGTGAAAGCATAAAGTACATGGACTTATTGGGAGAAATCTGGGTTTAGAAAATGCACAGAAACATCCTTTGGTTTTACATATATGTACTGAAATATTTACAAATAGACAATGTGGTGATTGGGATTGACTTCAGAATAATCTGGGTGGTGTCACGCTGGGATTGATGAAACAATCTTGGCTCTGAATTGATAATTGCAGAAGTGAGATAATGTGTACCCAGGGAGTCATTGCACACTTTTTCTATTTTTATGTTTATTTGAAATTTACCAACATAACTTAAAAATCCAAAACCAAAACCAGTAGGATCCTTTAAAAAAATCTTTAAAAGAAATTTTTTTTGAACTCTTAAGAACTTCAAAACAGGAAAGAAGTTACATTCAAAACACATTAGATATTTAGAAATATCAAACTAAGAACACTGACTTTTAGGACCATCAAAAAGTCAGTGTTATAGCTTTTATCTATAACACTAAAGCTATAATCCTATAGCTAGGTATTTATTAAAAAAATAATAATAATAGATGACAAAAACAGGTGTTGGGTATGGGAATGAGTTGTGAGACCCTGTGAGAGGTAGGAGCTGGGCTTTGTGGAGAAGACAGGTGGGCCTGTTGAGTTCCAATGTGAAAAAAGTTCTGTCCTAATGATAGAATTGGCCTATGACATACTTGAGATTTCTTTCCTCTCCAAGGTGATGTAATATTGGAGAGATTAGGCTCAGACTCAGAGCTGGGAAAGAAAGGAGTCTCTGTTTGAGGGCTGAGAGACTGTGCTATTGAAGAGAGAGTGCTCAGGTTAGGTTGAGGGTAAGGTTCCCTTACCCTCATGCAGAAATTAGAACCTACTACTCCACAACTAGCTGCTGCCATTGTAGTCTGTTAAGTTTATCTCAGCAATTGGTGTAACCATGGCATGTAAAGCTTTATGAAACTGAGGGAAAATACTCCCAATAGCACCTGACTGGCTAGCACCTAACATTCACCAAACCCCAACTGCAGTCTCCCCTAAGTAAATCCCTCATAATTCTCAACAGTTCTTTTATTTCTTAATTCTTTACTGTTCTCTAGTCCATTTTCCCGTGCCCTAATCAAGGTACCTCTAGCTTTTCATACTAATTCTAATGAAGAACTAAACTTTATACAAAAGCAAAACAATTTTTAATTTGGGCATTTGGGTTTTTTTGCAGTGTTCTAATAAACGTATTTTTGGTTTTTGGTAAAAAGGAAATGTAAAGGTGGAAATTTTAATCTTAAAAAAAATGAAAGTCTTACATATATGTCAAAAATGAAAGAAGATAAATTTTTTAAAGGTGCAGTTTTTCCCAAACTCAGTACTGATTATAAAGAAAAGGAAATTTGAGGAGGTATCAAGTCTTATATTTAATGATGTGTGCCTATAAGAACGTATTTAGCAGAAAGAAAATAACTCATTTGTTTCTTTTACTGGCTATAGGAAAATATAATACTGTTGTTTTTTTAAAAAAATAATAGAATGAACTGTTTAAATACTATAAATCACAAATCATGCAACTTGCTTAACTACTTAAAATTTAAAATTTTTAAATTTTAAACTACTTTTAGGTACAAATGCCTATGGCTCCTTGAAGAGAGAAATAGAAAATGTATATGAACAGAATTGGCCATACATAAAAGAATATTCTTATATTGAGAGAAGTAACTTGTTTACAAATTATATAACAAGAAACAATTGAACAGTGTAAGCAGTACATGTAAAATCTGAGTTTTAAAATGATAATGAATTCTAATTCTGCATTTTAATAGAATGCTTCAAGTTTTTCACTTGTTTTGACCTTTAATATACATGGTATTTTTCTGTCATTAATTTATTTTCTGTTTAAATTGTATCAGTAGCCTTAACTTTGAAAGTGTTAGTAATTTAACTTTCATGTTATTTTTAGTTAAAGCTTTGATAGAGCAAGAGGTGAAGAATGGCATTCCTTCAAATAGAATCATTTTGGGAGGATTTTCTCAGGTAAGATGAAGTTCGGGGTGGTATGTCAGTACCATTAGTACATTTATCTAGAAGTCAGTGGTTTCAATCCTTTTCTGTGGAGGAGTCCTTTTTCTAGAAGATATTATAGAAACTGATATACTACTTACCTTTAATGCTGAATTTGGTTCGAATGGACTAGAAATAATTATTAATTGAGAAAGTACTTCATACTCTTTTGCTTTTGTAGTTTTCTCTTTTTCAGCAATAGCTTTACCGTATAGATTATGTCTTAAAAATCAATTTATTAAGTAAATTGATTGGAATCTGGAATGTTGACACTATGTAGCCCTTTAAACAAAACTCTGTGTATAGCTATAAGTCCCCTAATATGCGCAATGAGGTAGAAGACAAGGCAATTTCTTCCCTCTTTTTGTCACAGATTCCCACTGGTTGAGCCCTGCAGATTCTCTTGCAATTCCTGTTGGGCAAGATCAGAGTAGGGGCTTCCACAAAGCAACCTACAATGCTGAGGGCGCTGGTTGTCTCACCTAGGCTCTGTTTTCCCACTAGAGGAACTGGATGCTCAGGGAAGGCCTCTCCATGTGGTGGTACACTAGTCTCGAGGAGAGGCGATGAGGCCAACATGTAGCTGCTTCTCTGACCCTTCTAATGCAGTCTGTCACGTTCTCTGTGGTACATCAGCCTCACCCCCACGCCCAAGGATTCTCTCAGTGGTGTCTTGTTCTTGAATAGTTATTAGTTGTTCTTGTGAAGGGTAACAAAGTTAGGAACAACCTTTGTTGCCATCTTGGTGAGTTCATACTATCCTCTTTCTGTCATGTAAAATAGGTTTTAGATATAAATATGTGATGTTTATTTTTGGCATCTTCTCTTTACTCTTTCTTCTACCTCCTATCCTTTCTCTATAGGCACAGTTACCCCATGTTCACCTTATATCCTTATTTCAGCTTCTCATCGTTTGCCATGTCACCCATCCCCAAATTGCTATGGCTTCTAATCTGTAAATTTTCTAAATCAACAACTTAGTGTCAGACAACATGAATTAGGGCAATGTCAGAATTAGGGAATGATTTAGGAGTTAGAATTCAATAGAAAGATAGGTTGTTGATATAATACAGTAAAAAAATAAGTTACTAATTTCATATTTGTTGAAATTCACAGATAATATACCTTATGATACACAGTGTGACCTAAATATCGGTACAGAAATGAATGCTTGTTTTAAATAGGAAATGAACATAAGAGTCTGTAGATTTGAGACTTGTTGACCACAGTTTACAAAAACCAACTCCTAATACCTTAAGCAAGAAAATGTTATGAGTCTGTGGGATCACATCAAGGAAACCAAAGATGAGAATGAAGCAAGGCCTCCTCGGGAAATAGTTTTGACTTGGAAAGCCGCCGTCACTTCTTCTCTCCATCTTCATCTCTGTTTTTCTTCTCATCTGCTTCATTTGCCTCTCCATCTATAGTTGGCTATCTTAGCTTTTGCAGCCTGTAGTGTTTCCAGTTCTTGAGTTTACATGTTACGGTTCCAGCCACACAAAGAAACAGACTGACAGTCACTGATTCCCAATTTCAGAATCCTGGGAGAAAGAGCATGACTATCTCAGATGAGAAAGGGTCTCAGGTCTTCATGTGGCCCAGTGACTGATGGGAATGCATTTCCCAGAATGCAGGGTGTTGTGAGCTGGCTAGGCAGATCCTCTAAAGGTGTCTGCTACATAGTCTTCATTATCTTGAATTACTGTTTTGGAAAATAATACCAGTTTAAGATGAAGTTTGATTTTATACTAAGACACTTCAGAGGAGAAAATAGTAACTATAAATTCATAATGTTCCTAAGGCAGTTGTAAGTGCAGCAGTTAACTCTACTGTTATCTATGTCTTGACTTACTGGACAGTTGCTATGTTCTCACAGTGGTCTTCAGTGTAGAGAATCACGTGCTTTAGGACACAGTGGGGTGTGTTTGTATTTCGATTTGTTTGCCTGATTTGATTTGACATCAACCACCCAGTTTGATTTTTTTATGGACATCATTAATAACAAGAAATCTCATAAGTTGCTGTTAGCAAAGAATGTGTTCCATTGACTTTCCCTGTTTGTCTTTCCAGGGAGGAGCTTTATCTTTATACACTGCTCTTACCACACATCAGAAACTGGCAGGTGTCACTGCACTCAGTTGCTGGCTTCCACTGCGGACTTCATTTCCAGAGGTAGTCTGATTGATACATGCAACATTAAATTACTGAGCTAAATGATAGCAGATAATGTTGCGGGAAGGGTCATTTTTTAAATAAACTTTATATTTTTAGGGCAGTTTTAGGTTCACAGCAAAATTGAGTGGAAAGTACAGAAAGTTCCCACATACCCACTGTCTCCATACATGCAAAGCCTCCCCACCGTTGACATTCTGCAGCACAATGGTAGATTGGTTACAATCGATGAATCTACATTGACATATCATCACCCAAAACCCATAGTTTACATCAGTCATCCTTCTTCAAAAAGAATTTTCTTAGACTTTTGTGATGTATTACTATGCTTTATGGGTACACTACATTGTCCTCATTATTGATTACATAGAGTGAAGTAAGAAATAAGTTCTGTTGTCATAAATCTTATATTTAAAGTGTTTGATACATTTTAAGATATATATAAAAATTAGGGCTATTTTTCACACATAGAAATAATATTTTGAATGTTCAGTGTGCTCACTGCTTGATAGCAGATTTCGATATAAAATATAATTTGTATTTTTTTTAATGTTTTTATTGATTTTAGAGAGAGAGGAAGGGAGATGAATAGAGAGATAAAAATATCAATGAGAGAAACATCGATCAGCTGCCTCCTGCACACCCCCTATCAGGGATCAAGCCTGCAATCTGGGCACATGCCCTGACTGGGAATTGAATGAGCAACCTCTTGAGTCATGGGTCAGTGCTCAACCGCTGAGCCATAATGTCCAGGCCTAAAGTATAATTTCTAAGTACCCAACAGTATAGAGCAGTATAGTATATAGTACACATGGGAGATGTAGACTTTATTTTCAAATTCATCTTTAGGGTTTTTTCTTTTCTCTATATAGTAACTCTTTGGTTACATAGTAAGTGCTGTTTATTAATCATATTTATTTATTTATTTAGATGAAGCGTGGGGAGAGAGAGAGAAACATTGATTTGTTGTTCCACTTATTTATGCATTCATTGGTTGATTCTTGTATGTGCCCTGACCTGGGATCAAACTGACAACCTTGGCTTATTGGGACTGATGCTCTAACCAACTGAGCTACCCAGCCAGGGCTTAACCATCTTATTTAAATCAATTAAATAAGAACTGACAAGAACATGGTTCAGCTAAAACATACTTCTCATGTCAGGACAATGTGAACAGATAAACAGTAGAATCTGCTTCAAGGAACCAATTCACTGGGAAAACATATGACTGGGTAATCATGTGTCCTGTAACAGTTAGCAAAGATATGAGGAGAGTATATGGATGGAAGGAATTTTATTTCTGTGGCCAAATATAACCTGTAATGTAAGTAATAACATGTTGTATGCATATATCTATCTATAGTTTTAAATGCCTGACATAATGCTCTACACATTTGAATAAATAATACTAGTTTTGTTTTGTTTTTGCAGGGTCCTATCAGTGGTGTTAATAGAGATATTTCTATTATTCAGTGCCATGGAGAATCTGACACTTTAGTTCCCCTAATGTTTGGCACTCTTACTGCTGAAAAGCTAAAAACATTGGTAAATCCAGCCAATGTAACCTTCAAAACCTATGAAGGCATGATGCATTGTTCATGTCAACAGGTAAATGTTTGGAAATAGTGATTATAGAGACGTAATTTGCTTATTTTTCCATGTAATGTTTTAAAATAACATTTGATTGTTGGGCCTTTAAAGGAGTTAGTGAATTCACACTGAGTCATAGGTTATCAGGACATAGATCAAAGTTTATTCAATTTAATGCAATAAACATTCACTGATTTTCTATTACATGCAAACATTGTACATAATTCTAAGACAAAAAACATTCCCTTTTTATTAAAATTTAGAAAGGATTAATTAAAATTAAAAATTTAGTAGGAGGGAAGGATATATATCCAAGTAACTGTATAGAAAGCAAATGTGATATGTGTTAGAAGTTTTTAAGTCCTTAGAAAAACTCAGGAGAGTGAGATTAATTTTATCTTGGGAGGCACTGAGATCATGGTGAAAGAGCTAGATTTTGAACACTGGGTAGGATTTAGATAGCAAGTGTGCAGAGAAAAGACTGTAGGACAGGAAAAGCAAGCTGTCCAGTTGGGCTGTAGTCTTATGAAAAGCTAGGCATCATAGAATAGAGACAGAGGAGAGATTCGATTGTAGAGAGCTTTTATGTTGTGCTGAGAATGGGCTTGTTCTCTAGGCAGAAGACAGCCATTGACTTTTTTTAAAATATATTTTTATTGATTTTAGAGAGAGGAAGGGAGAGGGAGAGAGAGATAGAAACATCAGTGATGAAAGAGAGTCATGGATCGGCAGCCTGCTGCATGTCCCCTACTGGGGATCAAGCCTGCAATCCAGGCATGTGCCCTGGCTGGGAATCCAACCAGGATATCCTGGATCCTAGGTCAATGCTCAACCACTGAGCACACTGGCTGGGCCACTTTTTTTTTTTTTTTTTTTTTTTAATCATCAAAGCAAGATGTAATCTACATTCTAGAAACAAATGAAGCAGAATCCATTAGAATTTAGTGACTAATTCTATGGAATAGGAAAGAAGTGTCAACGAGGCCTATATTTCTAGCTCAGATGATTAAGATGATACCATTCATAAAGAAGGCAGTACAAGCCTGGCCTGGCGTGGCTCAGCGGTTAAGCATCGACCTAGGATCCAGGCGATCAGGGTTCGATTCCCGGTCAGGGCACATGCCCGGGTTGTGGGCTGCAGCCGATCAATGACTCTCTCATCATTGATATTTCTAGCTCTCTCTCTCCCTCTCCTTTCCTCTCTCTGAAATCAATAAAGATATATTTTAAAAAAAAAAAAAAAGGCAGTACAAGGAACAGTTTTAGGGTAACAGGAAGGAGATATCCTGAATTTAGTGAACATATAGTGATTGATGTGCCCCCATATCAGGATGGGATATTGGAAATACTTGTCTGAAGCCCAAGCCTGTAATAGAGATTTAGAATAGTTACCGGTATTATTGATCAGTAAAGAGTCACCATGGAAGAATATCATGAGGAAAAAAAGCCAAGGGATAGAACTTTGGGGAAGTTAAAAGGAGTTACGTGTAGAATTGAGAGTACAGGAGGAGAGACTTTCTGAGTGGATGGGAACAGTAACCCATGAGTCAGAGGATGATTAAGGAGAAATAGGCCAGGAAGAAGCTATCCAATAATAAGGCACCTCAGATGTTTGGGGAGATAGAGCCAAACTGCAGTGGATTGTGTGAAGTAGACAGGGAAATGAGGAAGTAGAGGCAACATGTATAAACCTTTAAAGGTTTTGGTAAAGGGAAAAGAGAGTAGGAAGGTTCTTTTTAATAGGATGGAAGAAAGAGACCCGTAGAGGTAGGGAGGAAAGAGGAAGAAGATGCCATAAAGAGAAGGTAATTCATAGGGGGAAGTCTTAGAGGGATCATATAATTAAGTCCTGAAATGGGTAGCGGTTGCCTTAGAAGAGGTGAACAGCACTTTTGAATCAAGATAGAAGGGGATGGATGGATGTGAACAGAGTGTTGAGGTAGAGAAGAGAGCAGTTGAGAGCCCATGTTAGATCCTCTTAATCTTTTCAGTAAAGTAGGGGAGATGCGGTCGCTTAATAAGAATGGAGGATGCCTGGGTAGATTTGGAGGCTTAGAAAGGCCTACAATAAAAATTGGTGGCTAAGCATTGAGGCAGTTTATGTGAACATTGCAGCTAACTGCTCAACCTGGCTAAATCATTTGCTTTAGGGCAGAGACAGCAGGTCGTTAATATGATTTATCCAGACAGACAAGGGGCAAGGGTGTTACTGAGAACATAGTTGAAACTGTCATAGTGGTTCCTTATTTTTGTACTTGTTGGTCTACAGACTTTCTGTAGAGTTATTGAACAGGTAGCATACCCTACAATTTTCTAGAAGTTCTTCTTTTAAAATAACCTTTTGTTTTTATAAAATCAATAAAAGAAAGGAACTGTCTGAAGTATTGAATCCAAAAATGGAGGTAGCACTCGGAGCCTCCAGGAGGGACTGAGGGTCTAGAGCAGGGGTTTTCCAAGTAGACTTTGTATCACAAGGACCCCAGAGCTTAATAAACATACAGACCCTCCCCCCCCCAACTCAGTGATTCTGATTCAGTACATTGGGGGTTGGGGATTGAACTTAGGCACCTGTGTTTATATGGAGATGTTTTTAAAATAAAAGCTCCTTAGATGATTCTTTGTGCAATCACATTGGAGGACACTGGATTGATAATTAGGAGTGGAAACTGAGAAGAGGTAGGACAGTAGGAGGTGGTGTCACAGGAAACTTACAGGACTTTAGAGTGTTGTAAAATAGACCACTTTCGTGCTGTGGCTTTTTTTTCTGATTGACTATAAGGTTGAAGGTTCTCTGCATTGCTGATTTGTCGGTCTGAGGCTAAGCCTTGAAATACTAGAGATGATAGGAAATGAAATGTGTTTGGAGGAAGTGAGACACCTGTGAACCAGAAGTAGGGGTCTTCTAGGAAAGGTTTTTCTGTAGTAAATACTTGGTTATATTAATTTTCTTATCTTTCCAGTCCTATCTTAGGTACGCTTTCTTTCTAATGGATTTAGCATTTCAGACTCATAAGAGAATGTTAAAAGCTAGGCTTTTCCACATATGTAGTTGGCATTCATTGTATACTTCCTGATACTTCTTGGTACAGGTATTATCACTTCTAAACCCCCTTCATCCCTCCTCACCCGTTTTATTTGTTCAAGTGTAGCAAAATGCAGACCATTTTCATGGGAGTAGATATTAGATGTGAGCCATCATTGAATGTACAATAATAATCATAGGAAATGATCTGAGCCTCCTTTCTCTGTTATAACTTTTAATTTTATTGTAGTAGTAAAAATGTTGTTTCACCTTATGTACACACACCACAGATTTAGTTAGTGGTATTTTAGTGGGGATTTAATTTCTGATTTGTGTAACTGCTTATTAAATCACTTTATTCCAAACAGGAAATGATGGATATCAAGCAATTCATCGATAAACTCCTACCTCCAGTTGATTGACATCACTAAGGGGCCTTGTGTAGAAGTACACACCAGCATCATTGTAGTAGAGTATAAACCTTTTCCTGTGCCCGATCTTAAAAATTACAATGTTTGCAGTGTTAAAATATTTTGCAAATACACACCAATGACACAGACTAAATATCTTCTTGTAGGAAATTTATGATCTTTCAAATTTCAATACATGTATTTGTATAATATGATCCAGAATATACTAGCATTAAAATAGGTGAAGCAGCTGGCTTCTTTTTCCCAAATTTAATTTGGCAAAATAATAAAATACTGCAACCAGATTTTCTATCACATCATTTGAAAATTTTTAGTATGCTTAATGAAAACTTGTTCAGGTATAAATGAGCAGTTAAGACATAAACTATTTATTAATACTGTGACTTAGTCTATGGACTTATTCCAAAATTACTTAGTCACCATGCAGTATGTGTATTTTTATATATGTATTCAGATATACTTAATGATTATAATACAGAAAAAGAATGTGGTGTTATTACACTATACCTAACAGTAGGGATACTGCTTCTAAGTGTCAATAAAGAGGAATATTGCTCTCTTCAGTGAATGGCCCTTTTATTTGGGGGACCAGGCTTTTCTTTCCCTATTACAATTTCTTTAAAATTGTATTTATTTATTGATTTTAGAGAGAGAGGAAGGGAGAAAGAGAAAAAGAAACATCAGTTTGTTGTTCCACTTATTTTATGCACTCATTGGTTGATTCTTGAATGTGCCCTGACTGGGAATCAAACCCGCAACCTTGGTGTATCAGGATGATGCTCTAACCAATTGAGCTACTTGACCAAGGCACCGTTTCTTAATATTCTATTTTCCTCTCTAGAAAAGAAATTAATCTTTTCTTTTTATCCTTCATAACAGACCAAATGTTGCCTCCTTGCCGTAGACATCTACTGTCAACACATGCTGTAAATTGACATTGAATCATAGACATGGTAGTATTTAAAATGTATTTAAACTTATATAAAGAAACCAAACATCACTTCAAACTTCCTACATTACTTAGTTTTTAAACTGTACTTTAGTCCAAAGTTAAGCCTATACAGTTATTAGAATCTTCAGTCCAGGTAGGGAATCATCCTTTGATTGTATTTTTCTGTAATTAACTCAGAGAATTATTATGTCATATTCTAGTATGTTCTGGAAAACTTAAGACTGATCTTAAAAACTGTAATTTCTAAGGTGATTTGCTCTAGGATGATTCTCCTTGTAGCGTAGAGTTTTAGTTTATGTATGTTTGAAATCAGCTACTGTGGGAAATGAACAGTCCCTTATAAAAACGTGCTTCACTTTTATCTGCCAGTGGACTTATTTGAAAATTTCACTTTAATCAGATGATTTTTAAAAAAATTTTTGTGCAAACATAAAAGTAGCAACTATTTGATTTTAAATAGTTCGAATTTTTAGATTATTGGTAAAACTATTTGAAAACAAATTTATCGGCTATAAAGGTTAATCAGAACTCAATACATATGGTATAGTTACCACACAGTTTAATATGTAGCAGAAATGTATGCTTCATATTTCTGAACTGTTAATTTTCCTTCTGTATTCCAACTGACAAAAACAATGTTGAGAATGCATCTTTATAAATGGGTGCTAATTGGTAATGGAAATAATTTAGTAATGGACCATATAGAATGTTAATAATGAAGCCATATGTTTATGTCTGGATTTAAAATTTTTAAACAATAATTTAATGTCATTTTGATTTGCCTTGATGAATATTAACTTGTTTCAGTTATACAAATCAGCAAGATATGATTTATGGCAAAAGATACTCTGTTGAAATGTGCTGTAATGTGGGAAAATGTAAATCTTTTCCACAGTTTCTATCAATGTGAAATAAAAGTTAATGCTCACTTTTCTGTGACTGCCCTTTTGAGTATTACTTTTAACATTTGGGTTTGCCTTGGAGTGACTGTCTATAATGAAAAGGAGGAAAATGACAATGTAATCACAAGAATATACATTGAGAGAGAGAAATGGAATGGAACCAGGCATGAGAAAAGCTGTTCTTGCTATGCAATTTTAATAAGCTAAAAAAAAAATTCTTAAATTTTTAGCATTCCTAAGCTATTTAAGAAATTTTGTTTAGTGTTTCCTTTTGTCTCATTTTATATAATATTCGTGGAATTTTTAAATTAGTGTCATAAATCAGTTATCCAAATAATTTTTTTTTAAAGAATTTTTTTCAATTACAGTTGACATTCAATATTATATTAGTTCTAGGTGTACAACATGGTTAGATATTTATATATAATTTACGAAATGATGCCCCCAATAAGTCTTGCACCCACCTGACATCAAACATAGTTATGATGATACTGACTATATTCCCTAAACTGTACTGTATACTGCATGACTATTTTGTAACTGCAAATTTGTATTTCTTAATCCCTTCACCTTTTTCCACACAGCCCTCCAGTCCACCTCCCATCTGGCAACCTATGTTTGTTCTCTGTATCTATGAGTTGGTTTCTGTTCTGTTTACTTATTTAATCCTCACCTGAGGATATTTTTTCCATTGATTTTCTTTGGAGAGAATGGGGGGGGGTGGAGCAGGAGAGAGAGAGAGAAGCATCAATGTGACAGAGACACATCGATTGGTTGCCTCCCACCTGAGCCCCGACCAGGGCTGGGGATCAAGCCCTTGACCGGAAATTCAACCCAGGACTCTTTGGTCCATGGACCGATGCTCTAACTCCTGAGCCTAAATGGCCAGGGCTGTTTGTTCATTTATTTTGTTTTTTATATCCCACATATAGATGAAATTACATGTTTGTCTTTCTCTGTCTTATTTCACTTACCATAATGTACCTTCTAGGCCCATCCATGTTGTTGCGAATGGTATGATTTCATTCTTTTTTTTTGTGGTCGAATAATATTCTATTGTATATAGGTACCACATCATCTTTATCCATTCTACTTTAAATTTTGATTAAATTCATTGAGCTGATATTGGTTAATAAAATTATATAGGTTTCACGTGTACAGTTCTGAAGTACATCATCTGTTTATTGCACTGTGTGTTCACCATCCGAAGTCAAATCTTCAGTTACCATATTTTTTTGTAACAGCTTTATTGGGATATAATGAACATACTATGCAGTGCATTTAAATTGTACATTTAAGTTTAAATTGTACATTTAACATGTACAATTCAGTGGCTTTTTCTATATTCATAGAGTTACATACCATCACAATAAGAATTTTCATCACCCTAAAAAGTAACCCTGTGCCCTTTATCAACCACCCTGTGCCAGTTTCCAATTCCCCACTCTTCCTAGCCCTAGGGAAAGGTTAATGGAAACAACCCACATGCCCATCGATGAATACAGAAAACTTGGTATATCCATACAATGCAATATTATTCAGACATAAAATGGAATGAAGTACAACACAGATAAACCTTGAAAGCATTATATTCACTGAGAGAAGTCAGTCACAAAAGGTCAGATATATAATTCCATTTATATGAAATGATCAAAATATTCAAGTCCATAGAAACAAAGCAAATTTGTGGGGGCAGTAGTTAATGCTTAAAGGGTACAGGGTTTCTTATTGAGGTGATGAAAATTTTAAAAAATTATCTGGAATATTAACCCAAAAATAAAAGGCCTTTCAAAGTGAGAGGCAACAAGCATTTATTTGAGATAAAAAGAATAGCCAATTTGGAATCATGATTCAGGCAGAAATCCAAATAGTAATCTGGTTAAGAGACAAAGGTGGAGTTATTTAAGAGAAAGGGCCAATTTCATCAACGGAAGGGACTTTTATTGGTGCAGATAAGTTAATGTTATGCTAATTCTAAACAATGTTTGCAGTTTTCTTTATGATAGTCATTAGTCTTGAAATCGTATTTGCTTTCTTGTCTTTGCAAACTTCTTTGGGGCATAAGGTTGCTTTAGGCCTAGTCCAAAGGTTACTTTAACATCCCAAAGGTTTGAGGCCTAAGATGTGCAAGGCACTTCCTCTGGGATAGCAGCCTGAGCTCCATTTTAAAGTGACTCTTCTGTTATTTTTATAGGAACTAGATAGTGGTAATGGTTGTGCAACATTGTGACTGTACTAGGCGCTACTTAATTGTACATTTTAAAATGGTAAATTTTATGTCGATGGAGTTAATTATATCAGAGCCCACAAATTGGAGGTCACTCCAGTGGGCCAGCCCGTCACAAATCTAAACCTGTCAGCCTGCATGAATGGGAAGCACCTGTCAAAAAACCTAACTTACACGAATCACAATGCTCCAATTCCGCTTTAGCTAGCCTACCCTAGAAAACATGACCTGCTAAGGTTGCCTCTCCTCACCTCTATAGGACTTGTTCTTGCCTAAAATCCCTCAAAAAAGTGCTGTCCTGCTTGTGAGGCACTGAACCCTACAATCCATGCGTTGCTTTCCTTTGGGTAAAGGACATTAAACTCATTACTGAATTGTTTTAGTTTTTTCACATGACAGTGTTATGTGTATTTTTATCATATAAGTATAATAAAATTCATTGTAAAAAACAAAAATGACAGTTACTAGAGTAAATGTATGTGGACATAAACATCCAAACCTGTGGAGAATTTATTTTTTTTTTTTCAATCCTTACCCGAGGGCATGCTTTTTGATTTTAGAGAGAGAGGGAGAGGGGGAGAGAGAGAGAGAGAAGCATCAATATGAGAGCAAAACATTGATCAGTTGAGGGATCGAACCGGGGATCAGGAATGGAAACCGTGACCCTTCCTTGTACAGAAGGACGCTCTGCAGCCAGGGCTGTAGAGGATTTTTAAATATGCGTATTTGAGCCAAAGTGACAACATGCTTGGCAGCAAGATCTCAAATGCTGCAGAGAATGAGTTTTGCAGTGTCTTTATACATTGGGATTGAAGAGGGAGTGTAAGGACGAACGCGTGCAGGTGGGAGAAGGCAAGGGGGGACTGCAGGACAGTTACCATCGTGCTCTCTGGAGGGTGGCTTCTCCTCCCAGGGGCCTGAAAAAGAGGATTTGGCATTTCAAAGGCGTGTTAACGTAGATTCGGGAGAGCAATCGATAGGGCTCGAGTAAGGCAAAGATAAACCTATTAAAGAAGTTACCTGCCTGGGGCGTGACTGCCGGTCCTGACCTGCGAAGTTAGGAATTTATGATCGGCTCCCCGCCCGGCAGGTTCCTCGCCCCAGAGCCCCTTTGTCATCCCTAAGTAGGCGGCGGATTTGACTAATGAAGGTTAAAGCTGGTGTGGGAATATGCCTGCAAATAGCACGAGGTGGCAGTAAAAGGAGTGACCCGGCTATTGAAGGAGTCCCTCCAGGATTAATAATACATTTCAGTTGTGCGCCTTGGCTTTGTTGGTCACAAGGCTCAAGGAGGGCACCTCCCTCAGTGACCTTCAGAAACCCAGACGGGCCTTCCTCCTCCGAAGGCAAAGTTCCTGTCAGCTGCTATTCAACCCCGCCGGGTCTCAGTCCTTGAAGGAGCTTACAGACAATTTGAATTTTAAAAAGGAAAAGCTTCAAAGGGTCCAATCCGTATTATAAAGGGCTCTGTAGGGAGACGCAGGGCGGGGCGGTGTCTGTTTCTCTCTCGCTCTCTCTGTAGTTTATGTATTTTACTTTTTAAATTATTTTCGTTGCTGTAAGTATCCCAGATGTCCCGTCCCCACCCCGCTGACTCCCTCC